ACATGAATCAGCTTTGCAGAGCAAAAATTAAAATGAAGGATAGAGAGGATCTGGTTGGGGAAAATAGATGGCATAGAGCATATCCATAATCCACTCCCCCAGACATGTTGAATACTCTGATTCCTGAGAAACATGAACTTGCGCTGTTATTTCCCTGTCTACCTCCTTGCATGTCCCCAGAGGTGGGTGGCATCTTCCTCCCACAGGCCACAACTCCTGCCAAGAAGACCTGTCTCACAGTTATTTTCTCTAGGTATGGTCATCACAAGGGGTCACTTCTGACCCCTTGATGTCTAGGATTGGTGCCAGCTCTCTGTTTTAGCCCTGGAATACTGCATTATTTCTTGATAGTTTTCCCAAATTGTCCTCACATTTGGAAATATATCTTATATTAAAGGAATCAAATTACCCAGTAGTGTACCATCTGCTCTGCCAAGACCATGATATATTTGGATATATTTGGATATACTTGGATCTGGGGGAAAAAATCAAATAAACAGAAGAAGATCTGTTTGAGAATCTGAGTATGTTAGAGGATTCCCTAATTTCAGTAGTTTAAGTACATTTACCACTGCGTATTAATGGCTTAGAGGATGAGGGAAATTGGTGTAGGGTCCAGAAAACATTTTTTTGACTGGGTGCTGTTGGCTCACACCTGTAATCCTGGCTACTCAGGAGACTAAGATCTGAAGACTGTGATTTGATGCCAGCCTGGGCAGAAAAGTTCATGAAACTGTTATTTCCAGTTAACCATAAAAAAACAGAAGTGGAGGTGTAGCTCAGTGGTAGAGTACCAGGCTTTGAGCAAAAAAGCCAAGTAAGAGTGGAAGATCCTGCATTTAAGCCTCAGTACTGGTAATAAGAAAAGAAAGAAAAAGAAGAAAAGAAAGAAAAAGTATGTATTGAAGGTCTACCATTGTGCTCCAAGAAATATTCTTTTTTTTTTTTTTTGGCAGTTGTGGGGCTTGAACTCTGGGCCTGAGCGCTTGTCCCTCAGCTCTTCAGCTCAAGGCGAGCACTCTACCACTTGAGCTACAGCACCACTTCCGGTTTTCTAGTGGTTTATTGGAGATAGGAGT